GGGAAGGATACTGCAAAATTCCCATTCCTTCCCCACTCCTGTGGGAAGGATACTGCAAAATCTCCATTCCCACTTCACTCCAGGGGAAGGATACTGCAAAATCCTCATTCCCTCTCTACTCCTGTGGGAAGGATATTGAAAAATCCCCATTCCCACTCCACTCCTGGGGGAAGGATACTGCAAAATCCCCATTCCCACTCCACTCCTGGGGGAAGGATATAGCTGCTTGGGGAAGGTCACACAGGCACCACATACTATGCACGCGTGCGCAATTGGCCCGGTTGCTTCAAAAACAGATAAGGAATGCGGGTGGGCAGTTGGGCCAAACGAGCTACCGTACTGGTACTGTTGCTGCTGCTCCAGGCTAATACTGCTATGGCCATACTGGTAGGGTGGCTGCTGCTCCAGGCTAATACTGCTACGGCCGTACTGGGCTGTTCTGCCTGGAACCCATCACTGCATGTAGGGCTTTAAAAGTGATAACAGGCACCTTGAATAGCAGCCAAAAGGAAACCAAGCCAGTGGTGCTCAGTCAATAGGGACATTACATAAGCAAACCAAGAGGTGCCCAATACTATGTGTACTGTGGCATTCTGGACCAGTTGTAAATTTTTGTTGGTCTTCAAGAGCTGCTCCATGTGGAATGCACTGAAGTAATCCAAACAGGATGTTGCTGTGCTTCTATAGCTGAGATGGAGTTGAACCTGGCTGCTTAAGGCATTGTAGAGTCGATAATGTGGTATATATGCAGTGGTGGGATTCAAATAATTTAACAACCGATTCTCTGCCCTAATGACCAGGTGGGTAGGCTGGGCTCGGTGCTCATGTGGCTGGGTGGGCGTGGACAACTCAACGTTACTCACGTTGATGGGCACTTTGCCTTAGCTGTTACAATGTAATAAGGGTTAACTGGAGAGGCAGTTTCTGTAAGCAGGACAATAAAGATTAGGCTAGAAACAACACCAGAATGTTTCCTTCCTGCCTTCCTTACAGGATTAGCCCTGTACAGTGGAAAAAGCTCAAAATGAGATTTCTTCCAACAACCGGTTCTCCAAACTGCTTAGAAAATTAACAACCGGTTCTCCCGNTGACAGTGTTGTGGGAATTAGTTGTTTAGCAGAGTGATGGCATTCGGGGAAAAAATGGTCCTTGTGTCTAGTTGTTCTGCTTTTTTAAATTTTAGTTGTTCTAGTCATTCTAGTTGTTCTGTATTACCCTGCATTAGAAATTTTAGAGGACATTTAGGTAGTTCACCTTTAGGTTTAAGGTTTTTCTTCTTTGCTGTAGCGAAATATTTTGTATATTATTAATAGAATGATGTAATGTTTATCTGTCCAACAATGACCAAGTATTAGGCTGCTCTTTATGTTAAGTTTAATTTTTGGGTTAAGGAAAATTAATTTACTGCGTAACTTATCCTTAAGGACTCACCATTCAGGGTGTGTGAAAATGAAATGCTTGTTTCTCTTATTCTGATTACAATAGATGTTTGTTCTAGTATTTTATGCCCTGCCTGTTGTGCCATGGAAATCACATTGTGGGAAATGTATTTTGAATTCATCATTTTCTACACATTTATTATAGTGTGATTAGCCTCCAAAGGTTTGTTTACATTATTCACAAGGTGTGGGATTGCACTATAGGAAAACGTCACTGAATACCACTTTAAATAATAGGACTGGAAGGGATCTTGGAGGTCTTCTAGTCCAACTCTCTGCTCAAGCCAGGAGACCTTATATCTGTTATGACGAACCTATGGCATGTGTCACGCAAAGCTATCTCTGCGGGCACGTGAACTGTCGGCCAGGTCACCTCCACTGTACATGCACATGCTCCTCCAACCGGCCAGTTGATTTTCAGGTCTTTGCTGGGAGACATGTGCGCATGTGCGGGGTTGGGGGGGGTCACATGTGCATGCATGGGTGGTTGGGGGTTGCGTGTATATGCACTGGGGATGGGGGGATGCGGCACCCCCAACACCCCATTTTTGGTCTCAGGAGGCTTTAGTGAGGCCTGCTAGCACCAAAATGGGGGTCGCACGTGCATGGACTGGGGAGGGGGGCTGCGGGGGGGGATTGCATTGCGCTTTAGGCACCTGAGGAAAAAAAGGTTAGCCATCACTGCCTTATATCATCCTAGTCAAATGGTTGTCCAGTTCAGTTTTGAAAACTTCCAGTGACAGAGTCCCCACATCCCCAGGAGGGAAGTTATTCCATTGATTAATTGTTCTGCCTGACAGGAAATTTCTCCTTACTTCTAAGTTGAATCTCTCTTTAACAAGCTTCCACCCATCACCCTGCTTTCTGGTGCCTTAGAGAATAAGTCAGTCCTCTCCTCTTTGTGACAGCCCCTCAAGAACTAGAAGACAATTATCATGTCATCCCTCAATCCTTCTCTTAGATAGGCTACACATACCTAGCTCCCTCAATCATTCATCATATGATTTAGCCTCCAAATATTTTATTATTATATTTGGTGCTCTTCTCTGCACACTTTCCAGAGTCTCATCATCTTTTTTTGTATTGCGACCAGAACTGGATGGTGTATTCTAAGTGTGGTTTCACCACTGATTTAAATACTCTACATTTTAAAAGAGGATAACGCTTCTGATATCAGGTCTAATGCATCTGAGCTTGGTAGTTTTTATCACGCCTCTAGGTTCTATCAAGACGAGAAAAACTGGTTTACTACAGAATGTCACTATTGGGTGACACTTCTGTTAAATCTTTTTAAAAAAAGCAAAGATCCCGAAGAGTGATTTGGTTCTCATGGTTAGCATGGAAAGCAAGGAGTGTGAGTGAGTACAAGTTGTTCCACTGTTTAAAGATCTTGCTATGCTTGTGATTCCCACACAATGCACCATAGCGTGGAGAAACACAAGCAGTTGTTCTGTCCTTAAAATGTTGCCAGCATTGTTGTACGAGAAAGGCACAGAGAGAAATTGACTCCTTTCTTTTATCTGAAGTCGATTCCCCCCAAATACTTTCCTCAGTTTCTGATGTAGCCTGTTTCCCTAGAGCAGATGATGATACAGGGAGTCCTCAACCTACAACAGTACATTTAGTGACCATTCAAAGTTACAATGGCACTGAAAAACGTGAGTTACAACTCTTTTGCACAGTTGCAAACTTTGCAGCGTCCCCATGATCATGTGATCAAAATTCAGACACTTTGCAACTGGTTCATATTTATGACCGTTACTATGTCCTCAAGTTATGTGATCTCCTTTTTGCGACCTTCTGACAAGAAATGCCAATGGGGAAGCCAGATTCACTTAACAACCGGGCTACCAACTTTTATCAACCACAGCAGTTCACTTAACAACTGCGGCAAGAAAGGTTGTAAAATGGGGGCAAAGTTCACTTAACAAACATCTCGCTTAACCACGTAAATTTTACAACTGTGGTTGTAAGTCGAGGACTACCTGTATTTCTGAACAAATCCTTAGAACAGGAAAAGCTGTGGCAATGGGGTTTGACAGAGTATGGCATTGCAAAAGGAAGAACTGATCCAAGCATCCTGAGTTTTTGGGGATTCTTTGATAGAAAAGAAAGGTTACTTTTGTTGCAGATGGAAGAGCTGCAAAGGGTCAAAAGAATAGCTATTGTTAGCATGAAAAAAGGCAATACCATATTTTTCGGACTATAAGATGCACCTTTTTGTCTCCCCAAAGGGGGTGAAAATGGCTGTGCATCTTATAGACTGAATATTGCCAAAGCCCCGCCCACCCACCGGCCATATTTTGGCCTCTGCACACTCCATTTTCAGGCCTTTTGGAAAAAATGGCCTGGAAAAAGCCTCAAAACGGGCAAAAATACCTTGAAAACAGGCTGAAAAAAGCCTCTGAAATGGGCTGGAAAAAGCCTTGAAAACGGCTCAAAAAAGCATCAAAAATGCCCCCTCCCAAAAGCCTCAAAAATGGGTAGGAAAAAGGCTGGAAAATGGCCAAAAAAGGCCTCCCAAAAAGGCTAAAAATGTGGCATGCAGAGGCCAAAACTCTTTTTGTTTTTCTCTTCTAAATTTAGGCGCATCTTATAGTCAGGTGCGTTTCATCATCCGAAAAATACGGTAATTCAGGGACTGAGAAAAGGATCTGGGCTTTGTTGTAGCTGCTTGGGGGAACCCATAGAGGGGAAAAGAGCTCTATTCCCCCCTCCCCCAAATCTTCTTGATCATTGCATCCTAATTCTGCCCCTGCCTCTTAGAATAGTAGCTGGATACTTTCATGGTCACTGTCTTCTGTGGAGTCCCTTCCTCTTAATCCTGGCATTTGAATGAGAATAACAATCTGGTTTGTTTTCTAGCAATTACTAAAGAAAAAAAACATGTAAACGAAATATATTGTCCTAAGACCACCTCTTCACCATAAAACATGCAAAGTAGACTTAGTAAACCTTTCCTCCTTGAGGTAAATCAATCTTGCAAGGTAGACCCAATTAAATGCTATTAAAAAGGAGAATCAAATGATAGAAAAATATCTTTAGCATTAAGTAGAATAATCTATATTATTCTATTTCATGTAGAATGATATACATTGGAAAAGAGAATTTACAGTGCTCCTCTCATCAAAGAGTTACCAAGTGTAAATGATACAATCACCGCTAGCTCTGCAGAAGTTGGGTTCATATGCAACACAAAAATAAATTCAGTAAATCGTAGCTATCTAGATTCACACAGCAGTCTAGACATAAACCACAGTTTATGGACCAAAAAGGCAGATTCACATAATGTAACTCAGTACGACATATCATGGTCTTCTTTTTCACTGTTACTCAATTTTGAACCTTAGTTTTGATTCTGATTTTTGGAGTTTGTGTCACCTTACATTGACACATAAGGTGATTATCGAATCTTGGAAATTTTTTTGGAATAGTATATTTAATTTTTGGAAAAAGAAATATTAAAAAAATGATGAAATATACCTAAGTTGGGAAAATGCTGGGACTAAATACTATTCAGTGTATGAATGTGGTGTTTGAATAATTTGTTTCTGCTTTTAGGCGCTTCGTCTGAGTAATACAGCCATGTCAAAAACTACAACTGGTCAGATTGTAAATCTTTTATCAAATGATGTGAATAAATTTGATCAGGTAAGCCATATGGGAGACATACATTTTGAATGATGTAGCTTAAGAGTGATCTTAAGTAGTGGCCCTTTCTTTTTATTCATAGCAAAATAGAACAAAAGTTCTTGGGTTTGCTTGTATGTGTATGCAATGGATAAAACCCTTTTTAAAGACTATATAGAATCGTTTGTAGGATGCATCTTATATTGAGGTGAAGTGTGATTTCCAAACAGATGTCTTTTTAGAGTTGATGATTGTGATAAGAAGAATAACTTATATAGTAATCTCTAATCTTAAAGAGGACTTTGTTCTTTTTCCTCTCTTTCTCTTTTTTGGGGTCCTGCCAGAGGTCGTATTCAGCAAGTTCTGGCCAGTTCTGGAGAACCGGTAGTGGAAAATTTGAGTAGTTCGGAGAATCAGTAAATACCATCTCTGGCTGGCCCCGCCCCCATCTATTCTCTGTCTCCCGAGTCCCAGGTGATTGGGAAGGAATGGGGATTTTGCAGTAACCTTCCCCTGGAGTGTGGTGGGAATGGAGATTTTACAGTATTCTTCCCTTGCCACGCCTACCAAGCCATGCCCACAGAACAGGTAGTAAATTTTTTTTGAATCCCACCACTGGGTGCAATAGAAGGTTTAATTTTATTAATTTTACTTTTATTCTTTTATATCCCACCTTTATTATTTTCACAAATAACTCAAGGTGGCAAACATATCCAACAGACCTTGCTTTATTTATTTTTTCCACAACAACCCTGTGAAATGGGTTGGGCCAAGTGAGAGTGACTGGCCCAAGGTCACTCAGCTGGCTTTCAAGTCGCATTAAAAGGGGACTGGAATTTGTGGTCTCCCACTTTCTAGGCTGGTGCCTTAACCTATAGACTAAACTGGCTCGTGTTGGCTTTTAAAAACTGCCAAAGGTATCTATAAATTCATTCAGGGATAGTACAATGGCAGAACAATAAAGCTCCTTCAAATACAATGGCAGAACAATAAATCTCCTTCAAACTCCTTGTGAGTTAAGAGATTGACTCGTCTATGTAAGATTTCTAAACAATATTAGAAAGCTGATTTACCATACCCTTCTTTTGGTGTAGTTTTTAAGCATCCTAGTGTTGGCTATAGTTCTGATACGAATGAAGGCAAATATGTATGTCCCAAGATAATGATGTGAGATTGAATCTGGGTCAGTCACCAGAACCAGAGATTTGCTGGAGCCCCTCTTCAGGGAATTTGTCTCTACTAAAATATGTACTTTGGATTGTTCTGTGAGTTGTGTTTAGAAAGGCACCACATAAACAGACTCACAGAACAACCCAAAGCACGTATTACAGTAGAGAGAAATTCCCTTGAAATTGGACTCCAGCATGAGTCCAAAATCTTAGAAGAGTAAATCTCTAATCCCGGTGATTTACCCATATAGCAATAGCAATAGCAGTTAGACTTATATACCGCTTCATAGGGCTTTCAGCCCTCTCTAAGCGGTTTACAGAGTCAGTATATTGCCCCCAACAATCCGGGTCCTCATTATACCCACCTCGGAAGGATGGAAGGCTGAGTCAACCTTGAGCCGGTGAGATTTGAACAGCCGAATTGCAGAACTGCAGTCAGCTGAAGTAGCCTGCAGTGCTGCACTCTAACCACTGCGCCACCTCGGCTCTCTTGAATTTGACCCAAATTCAATCTTGCATAGTTCTGATATTTTGTGGTAGCCAAGAAAGTGTGAACCAAGTGTGACTATGCTTAGTTTTTTTTTTAAGATCATTCAAGGTCAGCTAAGTGCAAAGTTCATTATTTTACCTTGGGCAGGTCACTTGGATTAGCCCTGTAGATGATTTCATATAGGTTAAAAGTAAGTATGCTGGTTTCACGAGATATGGGTTAGAACGCTCACAAACCAGACAGCATTAAACTTGTATCATGTGAAGGTTTTCTTAAATGTCCTGGAGAAATTTTACAGTAAAACATGGACACTAAAGATATAGGAGTGTTTTGGCTCATGAAGCCTCAGATGTGGAGATGATCAGAGATGACAAATGTCAGGGTAAAAAGAAGCTGCCGTATTTTTTGGACTATAAGACGCACCTTTTCCCTCAAAAAAGAGGGTGAAAATGTGGGTGCATCTTATACACTGAATACAGCATTTTTTGCCTCCCGAAACCCCACCCCTTCACCAAAATGGCCGTGCATAGCCTTTCGGAGGCTTCCCGAGTGCTCCTGGGGGCTAGGGAGGGCAGAAATGAGCAAAAAACGGGGCATTTTTTTGCTCGTGTTTGCCCCCTCAGCCCCCAGGAGCACTCTATAAGCCTCATAAAGGCTATGCATGCCCTTTTTTTTGACAAAAATGGGCCTGTTTTAGTAAAAAAGGGCTGTTTTGGGGAGGTCTGCAGAGTGCAAAACTTTTTTTTAAAATTTGCCTCTTCAAAATTTTGGTGCGTCTTATACTCCAGTGCGTCTTATACTCCAAAAATGTGGTATATCTCAGATGGTGCAAGCAGTTGCTGAGGCCTCGAGATCCCATATTAGTAAGGAACAATTCCAGCGCATCTCAAGTAACATGCAGAATTCCCAAAGTATTTAGGGAAAACAACAACTTTTTAAACACATAACCTAACATGTCCAGACATAGATTGTTTGTGGGTCCCACAAGACTTTCCTCCAGGCACACAAGAAATGTGTGGACTAAACTGATAGCTATCATGATTTTTTTTTTACTTTCAGTTCATTTTGTGAGTCATGTGAATTTCTTTTTTGCCTAGGTGACTATTTTCTTGCATTTCTTATGGGCTGGACCCGTTCAGGCAATAGCTGTGACTGTCCTTCTGTGGCTTGAGATTGGCCCGTCCTGCCTTGCAGGAATGGTGGTGCTGTTTATTCTTCTTCCCTTTCAAACCTGCATTGGCAGGCTCTTCTCAGCTCTAAGGTAAGAGTGATTGGGGTCCTGTCCCTTCACAGTGATAAAAAAAACCTCTTGCCACTCAGCATGGTTAGTTCTTCTAGTCTGTGTTTTTTTTAAAGGTTATATACTTTGAAACTAAAGATTCAAACATGAGTGTCTGCTAAATCTGGCACTGGTGGAACAGAGATTTTCTTTAAATTTCATCTTTATTATACATTCAAAGACATACAAAAGACCCAACTTATGTTTTTCTTCACAAGGCAAACTATAAAGTAGAATTTTTTAAAAAGTTACAGAAGGTGTGAAAAGGAGCATAGAAAGGGGCAGAATTCATGACTTGTAAGTTTTGATTACATTTATTAATTAGTTGTAGGATCCAATCTGGGTTGGTCACTGGGACCAGAGGTTTTGTCTTCCAAGCTTTTGGACTCGTGCTAGAGTCCATCTTCAGGGAACTTCTCTCTAGAAGAGTGTATGCTATTCCGGAATGGTATTTATATAGTACCTGTTGTATGTGGCTTTTTAGATGTTGATTGGGGTGTGTTGATGGCTGGCTTTCAAGACGCATGTCGGGGGCACCTGTGGTAGCCCGAGCACTCGGCCAGAGAAAACAGACTCCCGAGCTCCATTTTTGCTGGCAGAGTGTGGTAGGAGGTCGCCGCAGCTGAAAACAGAGCTCAGGAGTCTGTTTTTGGTGGCAGAGCAGTCGGGCTACCACAGGAGCCCCTGACATGAGTGACAGCAAGCTGTCCATGCCCCCCGGCTCCCCTGAGGTCAAACACAACCCTGATGTGGCCCTCAATGAAATCGAGTTTTGACACCCCTGCTCTAAACTAACCTCTAAAGATACCACCATATTTTTCGGAGTATAAGATGCACCAGAGTATAAGACACACTAAGGTTTTGAAGAGGCAAATTTCAAAAAAAAAAGTTTTGCACTCTGCAAACCCCCCAAAAGTGTCCTGTTGTTTGTGAAAATGTACCCAATTCCCCCCCCCCCAAAAAGGGCATGA